CACTTCAAAAATTGAACAAATTGGGTTACAAAGTTTTGCCTCATCTGCCATATTTAGCTGACCTCTTGCCAACCAACTACCACTTCTTCAAGCATCTCAACAACCAACTTTTTGCTGAGAAAAGGCTTCTACAACCAGCAGGATGCAGAAAATACTTTCCAAGAATTCGTCCAATCCTGAAGCAGTGATTTTTATGCTATCAGAATAAACAAACTTATTTATCGTTGGTAAAAATGTGTTGATTGTAATGGTTCCCATAATAAAGATGTGTTTGAGCCTAACTATGATGATTTAAAATTCACGGTCTGAAACCAGAATTACTTTTGCACCAATCTAATACCAACACAGAGGTCTCTGACAGAGCTAATTCTTTCTAATATGATTTGCTATCTCTTATGGCATATTCTCCCCTTATGACAATTTTCAGAAAAGTTTTTCCCCCTTTTCTTCAATAATCTTCCATATGAATTTAAAAATAATTCTGAAAGTTCTAGAAACAAAATTCTGCTGATATTTTGGGTGGAAATTTCATTAAGTCTACAAATTTGCTAGAATATAGATATTTTCATAATAATTTGTTTTCTCTTTCAGAAACCTGGCATATTTCTCTATGTGTACAGCTTTTCAAATTTTAATTCACCTAATTTAACTTTAGCAAATTTGTTGAGGTGTTTGAACCAGAGTGCCTCCATATTGAACAGGGGCGAGGTAAAATAAGACTGAGACCTGCTGGGCTGCAGTCCCAGAAAGTTAGGCATTCTGAGTCACAGGATGAGATAGGAGGTCAGCACAAGATACAAGACCTTGCTGACATTAACAGGCTGCAGTAAAGAAGCCGGCTAAAACCCACCAAAACCAAGATGGCGATGAGAGTGACCTCTGGTCTTCCTCACTGCTACACTCCCAGCAGCACCATGACAGTTTACAAATGTCATGACAATGTCAGGCAGTTACCCAAGATGGTCTATTTTTATTTTTTGAGAGATAGTCTTGCTCTGTTGCATAGGCTGGAGTGCAGTGGCACAATCTCAGCTCACTGCAACCTCTGCCTCCCGGATTCAAGCAATTCTTGTGCCTCAGCCTCTTGAGTAACTGGGACCACGGGTGTGAACCACCATGCCTGGTTAATTTTTGTATTTTTAGTAGAGACAGGGTTTCACCATGTTGGCCAGGCTGGTCTCGAACTGCTGACCTCAAGTGATCCACCCACCTTGGCCTCCCAAATTGCTGGGATTACAGGTGTGAGCCATGGCATGGGAACCCCTATGTGGTCTAAAAACGAGGCATGAATAATCCACCCCATGTTTAACACATAATCAAGAAATAACCGTAAAAATGGGAAACCAGCAGGCCTCAAGGCTGCTCTGCCTAGGGCGTAGCTATTCTTTATTCCTTTACTTTCTTAATAAACTTGCTTTCACTTTATTCTATGGAATTCACCTCAAATTCTTTCTAGCACGAGATCTAATAACCCTCTCTTGGGGTCTGGATCGGGACCCCTTTCTCTTTTTTTTTTTTTTTCACCCAGGCTGGAGTGCAGTGGCGCGATCTCGGCTCACTGCAAGCTCTGCCTCCCGGGTTTACGCCATTCTCCTGCCTCAGCCTCCCGAGTAGCTGGGATTACAGGCGCCAGCCACCTCGCCCGGCTAGTTTTTCGTATTTTTTTAGTAGAGACGGGGTTTCACCGTGTTGGCCAGGATGGCCTCGATCTCCTGACCTCGTGATCCGCCCGTCTCGGCCTCCCAAAGTGCTGGGATTACAGGCTTGAGCCACCGCGCCTGGCCGGGACCCCTTTCTATTAACAAATTTACAAAATAAAAGCAGTCATTAAGACACCACAAAATAGCAGTCATTAAGATACCACAAACACCCCTGAAATTAATGGTTGTGCCAGATATAAAATTATCTCACCATGTACTTAATTACCTTTTGAAAACTTACTATCTTCAATCACAACCATTGAATCCATTGATAGTAAAGACATGGCTAATTTTAAAACTTTAAGCTAGGGGTTGACAGCAGAGACATGATTGAATTTTGGGGGGTGATGAAACTATTTTATTATTCATTGTGGTGGTGACTCCACATCTGTATGCATTTGTCAAAACTCACAAACCTATATGCTAAAAAGGTAAATTTTGTGTTAAGTATACATTAATTTTAAAATGTTTAAAATATTGTATGAAGCACTTTAAGATTCTAATTTTAAATATGGGTTTTTATAGAGATGCAAATGAGCCTACACTTATACCTCTTCTGTGGGCAATGAGTACACAAAGCCATCACTTTCACAGAAACATTAAAACACCAACCAAATGTGCACCGGGAAGCACATACAAAATACTCCTGGAAGCACTACTTGAAATAACAGTAAAAACAAACAAACAAACAAACCAGGAAACTACCCAAATGTCAAGCAAAAAGGAAGGAGATGAGCTGCAGTATATTCATATAATAGACAACTAAAAACAATAAAATAAATCAAGTATACAGGCAGATGCACTAGTAGGGATGAATTTTTTTCAAAGTATACAAAGTGTGACATCATTTATACTAAGTTCAGAAACAAGCAAAATTAAACAGTATAATATCAAGGGATATTTTATATGGTAAAACCATATAGAAAAGCAAAAGGATACTGAAGAGAGATGTACCTGAGGCACAAGTATGGGATGTAACACGGAGGGTCATATGGGGGCTTCAAAAGTATTGGTAATGACTGATTTCTTACACTAGATAGTCTTATTATTATATAGGTGTCTGCTTTATATTTTCTAAAATGCATATATGAAATATTTCACAAATATTTACTTATTATTTCACAAATAAAGCAAGTAAAATTTAAAAGAAAACCCAGAATTTTTGGCAATTAAAAAGAAGTCTTGACTAGAAGGAATAGAAAGTAAGCAAATATGAGAAGCAAAATGTAAAAATTTGTAATACACAAGGACAATGACAGAACTGATAAACAATAGATATGACTGACCAAAAAAGGCTCAAAAACAGGGTAACTTTTTTTGTTCAAAAAGACTGGAGGTTAAAACAACAGTATGAATCCAAGAAGAGTAGCAACACATTTTTTCTCCCATATGGCCACTTTACTAGCCACACACCCAACTCCTCATGCGGCGGGGGGAGGGGATCAATTCACTTCTTTACTCCTAGAGAAGGCTGATGTCCTCAGAAAAGACAGGAGTTTGAAGGAAGCCGAGATGATGCCTTAAGAAAAAAATGAAAACACAGGTAAATCTGTTTAAAACAGATGATTCTAAAAAGAAGGAAAAGTAAAAGGATTGGGAGAGAAGGTACTTGAGGAGAAAGCCAAGAAGAAGAAAGCATAACACATTAACGCAATAATTTTGTGACATTAGATGGCTGGGTAGGTTTTCCTTTGCATGTGGTTAACTAAGTTTTTAAGGATAAGAAGCATAACTGGAACTAACAAATTACACCCTATTTAAAAGGTATCAACTAGCTGAAGGTATCAGTATCTCAAAGGGGTCGTGAGAGATCTAATTTGCTTCATGTTGAACAGTGGTAGGGCAGTTTCTGGGCAAAAAAAAAAAAAAGTCTAGTTCCCCACACACCCCCACCCCAAAGTTCATTGAGGGCTTTTTTCTAAGGTCCAAGGAAAATAAGGCTTAAGTTAAATTAAGACTATTTAAATTAAAATTTAACAACAATACATTTCATCTTTCTGCAACACTCAAATGCAACTGGCTCTAACTTTATTGTTTTGTTTTCACAACATGAGTTTAAACCTACATTTGGCAGTAGATTTCTCTGAAATTAAAGTTTATATTGAATTATTGTTTGAAGACACAAAGGGAGTATGGAGAAAAGCACCCAAAGAAACAAAACAGAACAAAACAAAAAACCCTTTTTATTGGCGGCAGTAGTAAGGGTATTAAGTCAATTTCTTTCACAAATACATAGTAGACAAGATACAGCTAAAGTCAGATTTGAGCCCCTTCTCTGCCAAATAACTACGTATGTGATTAGGCACCTCACTGAGCTTTTCTTAGCCTGTTTCCACATCTTAAAAACCATCAATGACTAGTTTATTCTGAGGGCTAAAACCAAAGAGTTAATACACGCAAAGCAGAGAACCTGGCACAAATTCCAAGAAGCAATACCAGACTGAAGAGCCCTAGATCACCTATCCCTCCAAATTTTATATCTCCAGCTTTATATGTCACAAGCATTTCACTTTCATACCAACAGAAAACGAGCTGGCTCTTATCCAAAAGTCCCAGCCTTGATGATCAATTATTTCACTACCTCAGGTTTATACACACTGGCCCGCAATGCTACCACTCAGAGGCAATTGTGTAACCTGACTTTTGTGGTAATAGCGATACTGACTTCCATTACTAGAACATGCTTCTCTAGGAATACGGATTGAAAGTTTGGTAGCCAATGATTTCTATGGGCAGATTCCAGTAATCTTGTTAATAACCTAATGAGTTTCAATCCATTTACACACCTTACTTTCGAGTTTTCATTTTATATTAAAAAAAAATTTTTTTTTTAATTTTTTTAACTCACAAGTTTACCCACAGGTAAAAGAAGACAAATAACCATGTTTTCTCTCAGAAATATATGTTACTATCAAACTCTGGGTGCCAAGCAAGTAACTAGTGAACATCTTACATGCTTTCATTTTTCCTTTCATACACAACTTCATATATTTTATACTATCTTCTACTTTCCTACAGAACTTGACCTATTAGGACAAGTGATTTAAGACCAAAAGATCAAAACATAAGAATATTAAGTAGTCAAATAATTAACAGTAGCTGAGTAGCTCAAGACGACAAACATTCATCAGAAAGGCTGGCTGAAAAAATATTAAAGTCCTCTAAGAAGAATACTTATTTCCACATACAACAGAAAACAAGGAGACGATATTGCCCATTTTGTTTCAAGCCTTCCTAGAAACACCGTATGTAGAATGTGACTTTCAGCCCTATTTAGGGAAAGGGTAAATATATAAGAACCTGGAAGAAAGCTTTGAAGTGAGCATCCTCTTGAACGGTAGTGTTCTGATCACTTGGGAGGAGAGGGAACAGGCTCTGAAGTCTCACCCTTTCACAAATCACCTTGTTAGGATGGCCAGGTAGAGATGCTGAATTGGCCCCGGGAGATATCTGGGAAAAAGAGGAAGAAAAGGATAGTTCATGGCTAGCTGCACCAATGTGGAGAATCATGCCTATGAAGGATAGTCTGGATTTTCTAGGTATTTGATGACTCTGCTAGCAAAGACAGGAAAGAAATTAAAAATTAATTTTAAACATCAAAACACAAAGATGGCAAAGGTTGCCTCTGGCAATGGATCTCTCTTGCGAAAACTATTGGAGGCAAAACAGCACAGCCCAAGAACACCACATCCTTCCTGTTTCCCAAATACCTATTGGTAACTTTTTCTGTTGGTGTTAATTCTGAAATCCTAAAGGACAGACTTCATGCTAAGAAAACCCAAGGTAAAATTACATATCTTAAGTACAGAAAGGTTAAGTGTTTGCCTGGACCAAGATTAATACTTTTTCTCATTCTGTTTTTTAGTTAACCTTCCAAAATAATCATGTAAAGGAAGGTGACAGATTTAACAGTATTTGTGGCAAATTTTCTATAGCAATCATATGTTTGACCGCGGAAATCTCAGCTCTATTTAACACAAACCTAATGACCTTCCTAAGGAATAAAGGACACAATCATAAGCACAAAAGTAAATGACTGCCATGTTTCAAACGCTTGATTTGGCCAATGTGGTGGTTACACCTGTAATCCCAGTACTTTGGTATGCCAAGGTGGGAGGATCGCCCCAGTGTCTACAAAAATTAAAAAACAAAAATAAATGTTTGACTTGATCATGGGTTAATCCCCTTAAATTCATATGTAAATATACTTACTCTGTAATATTAAAAAAATCATGAACATAATGTGTTTCACTGTGCTGTGACAGTGAATTCTTCTTGGGGGTTAAGGCTAGTGGTCCCTCTTGTCCCTACACTAAAAGTTATATACTTTAACATAGTCTTCTTTTTAGTGTTTCATTGCCTCATTCGTTCACTCAACCCTACATTTAAGCATCTATTTGGTGACAGGCACTAAACCAAAAACAATGGCATCGTTTCCTACTTTCAAAAAGTATATGCTATAAAAAAGAAACAGAAGTAAATCACTGCATGATTTAAGTATTATGGTAACGGTAGGCACTAGGTGCTATGAAATAGCAGCTGCCAAGAGACAGCAGTGTAGCCAGGGAACTGCAAAACATTCAGCATGGCTAGACAGTAAGGAAGCAGCCAGAAACTGATCATAAAATGAAATGCTAATTATACTAATATCCTTGCTATTAATATATTAATATCCCTACCTTCCTTAGCTTTTTTATAGTATTTTGTTTCTGGTTTGCTATGGACTTGGTAAACAGATAACTGTGCCCACTGGTAAGAGTAAAAATACTTCCAAAGACTCACCTAGAAGTAAAAAACAAAGCACTTGAAAACAGGAACTTAGGCCGGGCGCGGTGGCTCATGCCTGTAATCCCAGCACTTTGGGAGGCCGAGGCGGGCGGATCACAAGGTCAGGAGATCGAGACCACGGTGAAACCCCATCTCTACTAAAAATACAAAAAATGAGCCGGGCGCGGTGGCGGGCGCCTGTAGTCCCAGCTACTCGGGAGGCTGAGGTAGGAGAATGGTGTGAACCCAGGAGGCGGAGCTTGCAGTGAGCCAGGATCGCGCCACTGCACTCCAGCCTGGGAGACAGAGCGAGACTCCGTCTCAAAAAAAAAAAAAAAAAAAAAAAAAAGGAACTTTAGAATTCATTAGTTTTCTGTACAGAATGTTCTGATCTCTATACTGCAAACATGAATGTGCTATCCTTTACCATTATGCAGAAGCATGCATTGCTGAATCAAGGCGTATTTACTGATTGATTCCTACAAGCCAAGAATTACATTAGGAAGAATATAGAGACAGGCCAAATGCAGTGGCTCATACTTGTAATCTCAACCCTTTGGGAGGCCCCAATGGGAGAAGCGCTCGAGTACAAGAGCTCAAAACTAGCCTGGGCAACATAGAGAGAATCCCATCTCTACCAAAATAAATAAATAAATAAAAATTTTAAAAAGTTAAGTTAGCGTGGCATGGTGGCACACTCCTGTAGTCTTAGCTACTCAGGAGGCTAAGGCAGGAGGTTCACTTGAGCCCAGTAGTTTGAGGTTACAGTGAGCTATGACTGCAATACTATACTCCAGCCTGGTCAACACAGTGAGACAGTTTCTAAAAATAAGTATTTGTTCATCTAATAAGATATAAAGATAAAACATGCGCCCTACCCTGAAGCAGCTTATTCTAGCAATTTTTGAAACCCAGATGCAAGCAGCCAACCATAATATATTTAAAAGCCATAAAATAGGGGAAAATTATGAGTAAGAGTTCTGAGTTAATATGAAGGTAAGAGTTAACATTTCATAGAAAAAGGAGTATTTCATATTCCTGACTCAATCTGAGGGCTTTTGCCACTCTCTCAAAATGGTTGGTTTCTTTATGCATCTCTTGAGCTTTTCATTTGCTCATTATGCATCCTTTGTAGGATGTTATCCTAAGGCCATCCTGCCTTCAACTATCATGCCCAAAGCAGTCTTACAAAATTGCTAGTACAAGTAGCTGGCTGGGAAAAGCCAAATTAAGGTCATGTTTCTTCTCCTTCAGTCCTTGTTCCTTTGTAATCTTAAGATCTTGGTCAGAGACAAATGAAAAACTGGCCAATCTGGTCCCTGTGGCCATAATTTTCAAGCACATCCCCTCCTACTCACAATAGTTTCTTTTGATCAGAAGCTCCATTTGTCTTAAAAAGGATGGACCAATATAATGGAGAAAAGCTATATTCAAATATAATGGAGAAAAGCTATATTCAAATATAATGGAGAAAAGCTATATTCAAATATAATGGGAAAAAACTATATTCAAATACAATGGAGAAAAGCTATATTCAAAATAAGTCTGGGACAAAACCATAGATGGGCTTGATTAAAACGAGGTACAATTTTATTTTACTACTAGGTAAAATAAAATCACACACACACATTTTGTGTGTGTGTGTGCGCGTGTATGTATGGGACAGGCAGTCCCATACATAGGCCGCCCAAGATTACCTCTGGTGTACATCTATACTACCCCCTTCCCCATGTGCGCAGGCAGGGCTGTGAATGTGATGTATTTCATTCCCCTGATTAGGTAAAATCATATGACAAAGGTGGAGAGGTGTTCAGATGTAATGAAGATTCCAAGTCGGGTGAATTCAAGTTAAAGAGAGACATTATCCTGGGTGAGCCTGGGCCTGACTTAATCAGAGAAAGCAGAACTGAGTCCTTCCCAAGAGATTCTCTTGTCAATTCTTTAGACTAAGCTGCTGTAAGAAGGCATGCGAAGGGTACCACGTGGCAGGCGCTTGAGGGGCAGCTTCTAGGAGCTGAAAGCAGTCACCAGTTGACAGCCAGCAAGAAAATGGGGGACCTCAGTCCTATAATCACAAGAACCACATTCTACCAGTGAACTTGGAAGGAGACACGGATGAAATCACAGCTCTGGGCCGGGTACAGTGGCTCATGCCTGTAATCCCAGCACTTTGGGAGGCCGAGGCAGGCAGATCATGAGGTCAAGAGATAGAGACCATCCTGGCCAGCATGATGAAACCCCGTCTCTACTAAAAATACAAAAATTAGCTGGGCATGGTCGCGCACACCTGTAGTCCCAGCTACTTGGGAGACTGAGGCAGAAGAACTGCTTGAATCCAGGAGGTGGAGGTTGCAGTGAGCCGAGATCGCGCCACTGCACTCCAGCCTGGTGACAGAGCAAGACAGGACGGACGGACGGACGGACGGAAGGACGGACGGACGGACGGACGGACGGACGGACGGACGGAAGGAAGGAAGGAAGGAAGGAAGGAAGGAAGGAATCACAGCTCCTGCAAGGTAAGGCCCTGGACAGGGAGCCCAGCAGCTAATCCATACCAGGACTCCTGATTCATGGAAATTGTGAGGAAATATCTGTGTTTTAAACAAATAAATGTGTGGTAATTTGTTACACAAAACAGAAACCAAAATGTATATGTATATAACTCGAATAAAAATTATTGTACCACAGTGAAAAAAAGTTGTTCTCCAGAATTTTGGCTACACTGATTTGATTACAAAGCATATAAAAATTAACACATTTTTATTTAAGCAGTATAACAGGTTTTAAAGCCTCAATCTGGTAACAGCTGGCTTCATGCCAGAAACTGAACTAGGCTCTTCCATCTTTATACACTGAACATTAGGTTTAACAGACTTGCTTAAAGTCACACACCTCAGAAATATCAAAACCATAATCTGAACTCAAGCCTATCAAATGCTAAGGTTCATACTCAACCCACTAAATCACCTTCTACTTTAAAGTAACATTCTTTATAATCTAGTTTGATTAGTAAATATCAACTATTCCACCAGGCCTATTTAAAACCATTTTTAGTACTTAAAAATAAACTTGTTTCCTGAAAACTGATATAATTTTATTTTTCCTTAGGCTGGCATTACACATTTGTTAACTTCGGCTTTCTCTCAGATTGCAACCTGTATTTAAAAAGTCCTGCCAAGGAAACATCCTGAGACCAGATTAAGTCTGCAACTCCCAAAACTCATCATGTTTAATGTCTATTTCCATATAATCATATGACTAATTCATTAAGCATAACTGAGAAAACCCTATTTCACAAGACTAAAGTTTACAGAAAATAGTTTAACCTTTTAAGCATCAACACTACTATTTTAGGACATCCTTTGTTTAATCTGGCCATTCTGTGTTTTCGTAACATAACCAACAATTTAACTTTTCTTGGAGACTGTAAGAATTATTAGTAATTATCACACTAACATTAGCACTTAGGACAAGACACTGTCCCAAAACATTTAAAATTGCTTCTGACAACAGCATCCTTCTTCGTTCATTTCCTTTTTTTTCCTCCAATAAAAGTGAGAGAGAGGATACAGATACATGACTTCTAAGCCAGTATGACATAACGTACTTCTACAAAATAAGGTGTTCACAAAGGCCCACACAGCATTCTTCAGCATACCAACTGGTCGGTCAAAAGCACTAAAATCACAGTCTAATATAAAAGATGAAAACAAAACATTAGATGAGGAGTCAGGTGCTTAGTGTCATCTCTAGCTACAAGTCTGGGTATCTGTAAAATGAAGTCAAATCCAGAACTCCAAATATTCTCACCACTTCCATGATGGCAACTGTTAATCTCTTGGAAGTAATTAGGTAGATTAATAGTTTAAAAAAACATGTTTGAATCTCTAATATTTAAACTGATAAATTATCAGGTTATATTCCAAAATATGAGAAAAGCCACATGCATCAATATGGTCACCACACCACAATAGTGGCGACAATTTAAAAGGTAACTAGAAGCAACCTAAATGTTTAACAAATATTTGCTAAGTAAAATTACAGTACACTTGCTTCATCTATGCAGCCATTAAAAAGTAGCAACCAGAAACACTACTACTTGGGGGAGGGGAAAATTATTTAAATGCTATGATCGTAAGGAGGGTTAAATATAAACAGGACTTCATAAATTCAAGGAAAAAATTATCTTGGAATATTAAGAAGGGAAACAGAGAACTCCCTATAAAGATTAAAGAGTAGCCAATTCAATGAGGTGACTTGAGCATACCCTCAGGAGAACATGTATAAGCTCCATGTCCTGTTCAGCACAATGTCACTAACACCTAGAAGAGTACATGGCACATAGCAGGCATTCAACTATTTATTAAAAGAATAATCTTTCAAACTGTAAGCAAATGATATACAGCCTGCCTTTCTCATTTGTGTAACAAGTTTCTTAGAAATCTGGTTGGCAATGAGACAAGCTAAAAGCTTTGATCAAGGAAGAGATGTGATGCACTCACCTGCAGATCACCATTAAATGAAGACAGTGGTTGCCCAGTAAGTCCACCCCATCCTGCTGAGGCAGAATAAATCATTGAGCTACTGATGTATGCTGTGCTCCTTGCTGGGATTTTCTGTTTCCCTGTTCTGAGAATAAACTAGACCGAAATGTCACCTCTCCTTTGAGAAGAGTTCTATCACTGGGCCTAAAACAAAACTATTTCCTTGGCTTTTGTTTTCTCGGAGCAGAGTTCTCTGAAAGGATTCTGATAGTGTGGAGCAGGGGTACTCAAAGGCCTGGGTGGCATTCTTCAAAGCTGGTCCAGGAGAGGACACTGGAAGCAGGAATGGGGCTGTGCACCCTTGGAGTTATGCAAAAGGCAGGCCTGGATGGTCACAGGGATCTTTGGGGGATGACAGAAATGTTCAAAATGTAACAAAAATAATCTAATTGAATTGAGTGAATTTTATGGTATGTAAAACATAACTCAATAAAGCTCCTTAAAAAAAAAATCAAGGGCCTGGCTCTGGAAAACTGAGGTCCAAACACTGGATAGAAACTGACCCTCTGAGACGTTATTACTCTTTGAGATCCAAGACAAAATTTCTAAGTCATTCATCTCTAAGCTTCAACAATTCTCATACACAAATAAGAAAAAGAATGAAAGGAATAAAAAAATCATTCTATCACCATGCAATAGTCACAATTTGTTTTTCATATATGTGTCTATATATGTGTGTATATATATATAGACACACTTATGAAAAAGAAAAAGAAATATATATATATATTTTTTTTCCGGGAGACAGAGCTTCGCTCTTGTTGCCCAGGATGGAGTGAAGTGGCGCAATCCTGACTCGTATAATCCTGACTCACTGCAACCTCTGCCTCCCAGGTTCAATCAATTCTCCTGCTTCGGCCTCCAGAGTAGTGGATTACAGGTGCTGGCCACCACACTCAACTAATTTTTTGTATTTTTAGTAAAGACAGGATTTCATCATGTTATCCAGGCTGGTTTCGAACTCCTGACCTCAGGTGATCCACTAACTTCAGCCTCCCAAAGTGCTGGGATTACAGCTGTGAGCCACCATGCCTGACCTAAAAAATAATTTTCAAAAGCTAATAGGCAGTATTAGGAGAAAACCAAGGACTGGTACTATGTGGGTGAGGATGTTCATTACTGCCCAGCACTGCGACAATAATTTCTAAAAAGAAATTATTGTTCCCATTCTTGAGTTTAGGCAAACAAACTGGACCCATCTTTTTCTGAGAGTACAGCAAAAATAGGGTCTGTGAAAACAGCCTAAGGCTCCCCTACTTCCTTTCCCCAGTCCCCAATCCCATAAGGTGATTAAAAAAGAAGGAAAAGGGAAAAGAAAACAGATACAACTAAAGAAATCCTCTTTCCATTACACACACAATGCAGAAATAAAGGGTAGGAAAAATAAGAGTGAGATATTTTAAATAAACTTTTATTTCCTTCCCTTCCAAAATCTAGATTTGCCTACACAAAGATTTTTCTCCCCTCAAAAAAGTCTAAAATTGTTTTACTTAGGTTGGTTACCACAAAGAATTACACAGCAGTGAAAAGTATCTACACCACAAAAGTCCAAACCAATGAAAAATTTTATACACATACTCTCCCCTCTCCCTCTCTCCAAACACACGCACACACATATAATTACTTACATAATAACTGTGGGTTTTACAACAGTTGGAAAAAAGAGGTATGACCGAGTTATGATTTTATTAAATAACAATCATAATTCAAATATTTATTGCTTGCCTGCCATATGCTGGATGCTGTGACTACAAAATGGGAAAATGAAACAGTCCTTACCCTTAAAGCCACTCAGTCTAGTGAGGGACAATTAATAACAGAACTCCGGCCGGGCGCGGTGGCTCACGCCTGTAATCCCAGCACTTTGGGAGGCCGAGGCAGGCGGATCACAAGGTCAGGAGATCGAGACCATGCTGAAACCCCGTCTCTACTAAAAATACAAAAAATGAGCCGGGCGCGGTGGCGGGCGCCTGTAGTTCCAGCTACTCGGGAGGCTGAGGCAGGAGAATGGCGTGAACCCAGGAGGCGGAGCTTGCAGTGAGCCAGGATCCCGCCACTGCACTCCAGCTTGGGCGACAGAGCGAGACTCCGTCTCAAAAAAAAAAAAAAGAAAATAACAGAACTCCAAGAGGATAATAGGTAAGAGGTAAAAAGTTCAGATACTTAAAAAAGGGAAAGATCTAAGGCAGGCAGGCTCCATGGCAAACACCTGTAGTCCTAGTTACTCAGTAGGCCAAGAAAGGAGGATCACCTGGGCCCAGAAGTGCGCGTCCACAATGGACAACACAGCAAAACCTGTTTCTGGAAAAACTAAAATTAAAAAATAAATAAATAAATAAATGAAAAGATGTTAGAATTGGGAAAAGAGACTGTGTACATGACCCCTCTTCTTCATCTGTGTATTCTAAATTTGTCTCATTAATTTACTATATAGAGTTCAAGTATTAATGCTTTATCTCCTGTAGATAACGTCGTATTAGATAACGTTTGCTGATGAACTAGACAAGAACTATACTGTTCAAATCCATGTTTACAATCTGTTCGCTCTTTATAGAGAAAAGGCTGTGAGTTAAATAGAGCAAAATGGAAGTGAAAACTGTCTGACATGTTTTCTTAGCAGGAAAACAAACACGAAACAAATAAGTAGACCCCGACGCAATGCAACAATCAAGACTAATTAACAACTACCTTTCCAGCAAGATGAATTACAAAATGGTGGTGCCCTAAACCAAACTAGAGGTGGTACAGAGAAATAGGTGGAATAAACTAGACGACATAATTTTGACCAATCATCTTTCCATATTGATCAAGTACCTAATCACTTCAGAAACTTTTATAAGAACTTCTCACCCATACTTTCCACTCACAGCCTCAAAAAAAGAAAGTGAGCACAAACAGAAACAGCCTAGCAATGTAACATGAATTAACTAAAAGCCTCATCCAATGCTGTTGGCAGACAACATATCTACACTCTACATTATGAGCTAACAGATTCAGTTATGTCTGACTATGCCATCTTGTTTACTCTTTATCAAAAATTAGGTTATTTTAGTAAAGAAAATTCTCAATACTGACCCAGGGTAATACCTGACAATTTAACTATAAAAACAGGATGGGCATATAAAGCCCAACAAGTATGGAAATACGAACTACCTTCTAAAATCACAGACGAAGTCAGAGGTGGAAAACCCACAGATTATGTAAGTCCAACTTTTTTTATATTTTACAGATGACAGCCTGAGGTGCACATGACCAGTCTGTCGCAGAACTTATTCCTATAGGATCTAACGCCTTCAAATCTCTTAGAAATAAGTCTCGCAGATACATTATAAAAACCAACTTAAAATTGAACGAACAATGTATGATTAGTACGTTTGCAAAAGGTGAAATATACCAGTACATGTCTAAACTCCAGAGAAAGGGGACACAATTCCCAGGTAAACTTCCAGTCAGAAATTTCTTTTTTTTATTCCAAGTGTGTCCCAGCTTCCCACACCTGATGACATCTATAGGCGTTTGGTTTCGTATTGTCACCTCTACAAAAGTTCTATTTCTTCCACTACACGGTGTTCCCTGAAGATAGGAACAATTTTACTTTTACTCCAACTGTCCCTATAAAAGGGAATTTTTTTGAAAGCCTACATAGAAGGGTTGCTTGTTATTGAAAGAAATTTATGGTAAATGTTCAAGTATAACAGCACTCGCAATCAAGGCTAAATAGGATACAGCAGATTTGCAACTCTAAGGTAACAACTGTGTTATGAGCTTTGAATATATTTGAGTTTTCATACATTAAGCCCACCTCTTAAGAAAAAAGAAGTGGCAAGTCATACGATGGTGGCGATAATTACATGTGTGTGTTTCTACTTTCGGTAGAAAAATTAGCATACTCAACTTTTACTGAATAATAGCATACATCATTTTTGCAACACAAAGAAGAATACTGTACCTTACAATCCATACAAACGTAAACGAAAACTTTATTTTTTTTTTGGACCTCAATAACCTGAAATACTCCCGTTTCAAAAACCAACCTCTCTCACGCTTCAGCCCTGAAAGAACTTTCATCCCCTGAGAACAAAACGCAGCCTGTCCAGAAACCCACGGAAGTAGATGGACGCCAGAGACGACCCTTTCGACCGAGTTCCGCGTTCTCCTGGGTGACATCATTTCACCTGCGTCTCGACAAAAAGGGAGGGAGCGAGGAAGCGAGACAGCGAGACCATCTGCCGGGCAGCGGGCCGGCGGCTCCCCAAGCTGAGACCGCGCCTCCTCGCCGCCGCGGGAACAAAGAGCGCCGGGCGGCCGGGCCAAACCTTAGCCCAAGACTCGGGTGCGGCCCCTCAGGCTCCCAACGGCCCGCGGCCCGTCCCGCCCTCGCGCTGCAGCCAACGGCCGCGGCGGCCAATACCTGCGAGGGGAGGCTCCGCCCTGCAGGGCAGCTCCCGCGGCTCCTCGCTGGGTCGCCGCCTCCTATTGTGACTGCTCGCCCAGCCCGCGGCCAGCTCGCCAGATCCGCCGTCCGCGGGCCTCCTCACCCCCGGAACCCCGGCTCCAACTGAGGCGCTGTCACTGCGCTTCCTTCTTCCCGGCACCATCACACGGGCCGCGCCAAGAAACGACGGCTGCACGCCCAGAGATGACAGAGTCGCCTAACGCCTCGGAGGCTCCATTCTCTCCGCCCCCGCGCCCCAACCTCGGCCCCGTCCCGCAACACCGCACTAGGGGCCCGGCCCCGCCCCGCCGCACCCCGCTTCGGCGATCACAGACCCGGGCTCGCTGCGCGCCGGCGCACTGGCCTCCGCTGCGCGCGCAGGCGACGCCCCTCGCCGCTAGGCCGCGAGACGCGCGGCCCTCCCACTTCTTGGGTACGGGTCGCCAGTCCCACCCCGTGCCCTCGCCAGCACAAACCTAGCGAGCCCAGCGCGCCAGACCGCCGGAACTCTCCTCCCTTTTCCCCTAGGCCCCGCACCGCGCGCCGAGCCCCTTTTGTTTCCACCCCACGGGGGAAAGGGGCGGGGCGGGGCGGGGCTGCGCGCAGCCCGGCGCACGACTCGGAGTAGTTCCGGCAACAGAGCTGGGCGCGCAGCACCACTGCGCAGCCCCGCCCCAGCCCGCCCCCCGCCGCCTTGCGGACGGCAGGGCCCTGTTCCAATTCGTATAAATCTTCTCTTCGTAAATTGTTGCTACTGTTCTGTGCCTCATACCTACAAAACTCCGCAATCAAACAGTAACTAACCTCACGTAGTTCTTACAGCATAAATGCATTCACGTGGCCCAAAAAGTAGGAATTTTTATTGCAGTACACAAAGGTGTCTCTCAGTGGAGCAAGCAAACAGGTTCGAACCGAACTTGTCTGAGGCTTCAAGTGTGACTGACAGTTGTTCAGACGTCGCTTGGGGAGGGGAAATAAGGACAAAGATTGAAGCCGGCTTGGCTCCTGTCCTGATAATCACGATACAAGAGAGGAAATAAAAATTTCCACAAAAGCACAATCCATACCAGGAAAAAATAGTAAAGTGGTATCACAGTTAAGGAGAGAGGGCAGTCAACAGAACAACATGGAAGGGGTGGGCTTTTTAAAGCAGATACAAATTAGATGTTTTCCACAAGGATGGTGATCATATTTTAGGGTGGTAGAGTAAAATTATTAAGGACCAGTCAACAGAAAACTCGGGTTCTGAGGTTCTAGTTCTTTTGGCATTATTTAAACCAGTCTCTTTCCCTCTCTGGGCCTCAGCTGCATCCAGTAGAAAATGGGGGAAATCAGACTAAATGTTGTTTCAGGACCTTCTGAACCTTGGACATTCTGTTTATCAACAACACTATAAGATAATTATTTGTGTACACTTGTCTCCTATTATCAGACTGAGCGCCCAGACTCTTGGAACTGTGTAAACCCAAGGCCCAATCCTAGTGCCAGAAACACAAGAGTAGGTGTTTAGCAACTGCTGAATCAAAGTTCCAGCAATAACATCACAGGTTTTGGAATTCCAGGACAAAGAGAAGCTGGAAAGAGGTATTAAGCCCCTATGAACATATCCACCCCAAACCCATACTCGAATTATGTAACCCAGTTAACCAGCTGGCTCTCTCCCGAAGCAGCCAGTTTGGAGATGATCACATCTAAACTTGTTTTCTTTTTTTCTTTTTTTTCATTTCAAGGTAAAGTGCCAACCATATCTTTAAGTATATCCAATTTATCCTATTTCTATCCTCTGTATCCCTCACAAATTGCAATCTACTGTGAATTCGCCTTGCATTACAGATCTTCCACCAGAATCTAAGCTTAAAAAAAAAAAAAAAGAAAGAAAAAATTCCCTACATAACGCAGACCACCCTGAAGTAGCTTCCTCCAAGCTTGGATAGGACTATGTGAAGAGAGGGGAAAGGGGAGAAGAACATCAGGAAAGGAAAGGGAAATTACATTCGGGAGCTATCTAATTATAAGAGGCAGATTCCTCAAGTACTGAACTCAGCAGCAAAAATCTATTACAGTCCTCCAACATTCCTCACCTATAAGCTTCAGCAAATCAAGCTTTCTGAAACCTCTCAAATGATTACCATCTTCAACAATGCTGTCACAACCCTAGATTGGATAGTTTTAAATGTGTACCACAATTTGTTCTTTTTTTTTTTTTGAGACAGGGTGCTCTGTCGACCAGGCTGGAGTGCAATGGCTGGATCACATCTCACTGTGGTCTCAAACTCCTGGGCTCAGGCAATCCAGGCTAAATTTTTGATTTTCGGTAGAGACAGGTCTCACTATGTTGCCCAGGCTGGTCTCTTAACTCCTGAGTTCAAGCAATCCTCCCATATTGGCCTCCCAAAATGCTGGCATTATAGGTGTGAACTACGATGCACAGCCTCTAATTTATTTATTAACCAGAAAATCATAAGCCATGCAAGTAAACACCCAAAGAGTAGGCAGGCTTTTAAGGTGGTGGGCCACCTTTGACAACCTAATGTGGCAGGGGTTAAAGTTATACCAGAGCAGTCACTTAACTACAGGCCAGCTAAAATTTTGTTTGGTGTCTGTCCGCAAAGGTGGAAAGTCCCATTGTAGAACTAAGAAAACTTTCTGCAATGACAAAAATATTCTACATCTGCCCCATTGAAAAGGCTGCCACTAACTAGTGACATGTGGCTACTGGGCACTTGAAATGTGGCTAGTTCAATTAATGAATTGTCCAGGATCAGTTTTAAAAGCCACACAGGGGTAAGGGACAGTACAGCATTTGTAAGAAAAGGTGCTTTTGGCAAGAGCTTTTTGAGAATTCTGACTCTGAGGCTGCCCTTTAAAAAACTGGTTTTCTTGACAAAAGTGAAAATTGTGAATGACTACTGTTATTCCAGAGGTACCCAAGTCATTTGAGTCCCTTCAATTTTAAAATAAAAATATATCAAAACACTGCTTACTGAACAGGAAAATGCTGAAGTTCCTTCAGATGGTTCTGGTAGCTATTCAATGAGATCGTTTACTCTGGTGTTCTCCCATTCTAATACATGGGAATAACAGCAGCCACTATTCAAAAACTGCATAGAATTTTAGAACCGATCACCAGTGAACAAATTCAGCCTATTCTTCAATGCCAAATCTCACCCACTTTTCACCTTGTAAAGAATGTGACTCTGCAAATTCTCTTTTATACCATCATGTTTCTCTCTTTGTTGGATTATTTCTAACAGAACACACAAACACACCATTAATTTTTCCCATCTTTAAATCTTTATAGTTAATGGTTTCAGGTTTGTGCTTCTAGTTGCTGTTATTATCCGGTTTAAGAAATATTTCCCTACACTTGGGTCAAAGACATTGCCTATATTATTTCCTTAGAATTTTTATTATTTTCTCTTTTCCATTTAGATCTACACATCACCTGGAATTGATTTTTGGTGTTGGTGAGGTGGGAATCAAGTGCTCCCTTCCCCATACGGACATCTACTTGACACAGCATCATATACTGAAAAAGACTTGTTAACTGCTCCTTTGTTTAAAAAACTGGCCACATATGCATGAGTTTGTTTCTGGGTTCAGTAGTCTGTTGCACTGTTCTCTTTATCCCTGTGCTGATCCACACCATCGTCATTACTGCAGCTCTATAAGACTTCCTTTCATCTGTTACAGCAGGTTGTCCTTCAGAGTGTCTACGTTATCTCTCGCCTTTTGAATTTCCATAGGAATTTAGAATCAAATTATTTCAAAAGAAGGAAAGAAAAAAAGACAAGGAAAAAGATGAAATTGCTGGGATTTTCTTGGGGCTGCATTAGATCTAGAAATGAGTTAAGGAATACTGGAAGATTCAATATTGTAAAGATAGCAATCTATAAGCTATTTACTTGAGTCTTTAATTCTTTCAATAATGCTTCATAGTTTTCTGTCAAGGTCTTGCACATTTTAGTTCTTAGGTTTATTCTAGGTTTTTAATATAATTCAATTATTCTTTTTTTTTTTTTTTTTTTTTTTTTTTTGAGACGGAGTCTCGCTCTGTCGCCCAGGCTGGAGTGCAGTGGCCGGATCTCAGCTCACTGCAAGCTCCGCCTCCCGGGTTCACGCCATTCTCCGGCCTCAGCCTCCCGAGTAGCTGGGACTACAGGCGCCCGCCACCTCGCCCGGCTAAGTTTTCATATTTTTTTTAGTAGAGACGGGGTTTCACCGTGTCAGCCAGGATGGTCTCGATCTCCTGACCTCGTGATCCGCCCGTCTCGGCCTCCCAAAGTGCTGGGATTACAGGCTTGAGCCACCGCGCCCGGCCTTCAATTATTAATTCTAATAGTTTATCTCAGTTCTTTTGAGTTTTCTATACGCACAATTCTGTTTACATCCTTGTCTACTTAGCAGAAAATCCTGGCTGTTGTATTTCTTTCTCTCCAACATATACTCATTTTCTTGTCTTAGTGCACTGGCAAGGACCTCTAGTACAGTGCTAACCAGACAGCTTTAGTTTATCCCAAACCTCAAATGAAAAACTGTTGATATTTAATACTTAAGTATGGTGTTTGTATTTTTTTTTTTTTAAAGACCCCTTTAGAAAATTAAAGGAATTCTCTATTTCTAATTTGTTAAAAATTTATACATGGGCCGGGTGCAGTGGCTCACATGTGCAATCCCAGCACTCTAGGAGGTCGAGGTAGGCAGATCGCCTGATGTCAGGAGGCCAGCCTGGCCAACATGGTGAAGCCCTATCTCTACTAAAACTACAAAAAATTAGCCAGGCATGGTGGCACGTGCCTGTACTCCTAGCTACTCGGAAGGCTGAGGCAGGAGAATTGCTTGAACCCAGGAGGCAGAGGTTGCAGTGAGCTGAAATCGTGCCTTTGCACTCCAGCCTAAGCAACAGAGAGAGACACTGTCTCTTCAAAAAAAAAAAAGAAAAAAAAATTCATCAATGGATGTTTGATTTTTGGAAAAA